TACAATTTTAATATGCAAATGCAAATACTACATAATTAATTTCTGCACCCTGGAGTCGGCATATACATGTACTGTAAAATACTTTATTTCCCTTGGAATTAATTTTCGCTGAAGTGAAGTGAAAATAAAATCCAGCGAATCTCCCTATTTTTTCTATATTTTACATTCAACTTGTCAACAAATCAGTGAAAATAAATTCAGTACAAAACACCCAAAAAGTCTTTTCAGCGAAAATTAATTCCAGCTAAACGAAGTATTCTACAGTATGTGATGTATGCGTCCATCGTGTTTGGCTGCTTATAATACACCAAACCTTACCTGCAATCTAGTGACTTAACTCTATGTTTGAAAACTGTTGGCAGCAACAGCAAAATATTAGTTCACAAACCAAGATTGTTTTTGACAAAACTAAAAAAAATACTGGTACTGATAATCAAACACTGTTTCTGTATATACTATATCAACATGTAGTCAACAAGTAAAGATGGAGAATATATATATATATTCTGTTCATTGTAATCAATGTAATTTTGCTCGCTAGAAATTTTCATGTTTTGATGATATAAAGATGAGGGGGGAAAAAATTCCAAAGTAAAAACTATCGACCACTGAAGACCAAAGTTATAGTCATTGTTATAGTCACTGCAACTCTGCGACAATTTGTAATGTTTTCGGTTAATGAAAATTGATCACAGTATTGAAGTTGTTTATAGCATCTCATGATTTCATTTGTGGTTTTCGTGATGGGACAACAACCCCTTCTTTACTGTGCAAATGTAGAATGAAGTGCATGGATCTTGGTGATCAGTAATGCAGAAACAATAGAATGAAAATCATTACACTTAACAATTCCACATGGTAGGATGACAGGAATTGGAATTACCTGGTGGCGGAATGGCTTCAGGAATAAACAAGACATATGTGTATCATAGTTAGTAGAACAACAGCATTCAGACAACAGCGATGATGATATGGAAAGGAAACATGCAGAAAAACAAAAAAAAGAAATGATAACATTATGCTGATATGAGCCTATAAAGCCCCTACCTTCAGTGCGTGTTGCGTTCAAGAGTCTGGCTATAGTATTGTAAGGAGAAGCCACCATAGGATGCAAAGGGGGGAAGAAAAAGAGAATTGGCAAGGAAAGATAAGTAAACAATTATATAATAAAGTACCAGGTTTTACATGACTGTGAAAGGACCAGTTTTTGAAATAATTATACTTTCTGTAGATACACAATTTGTGGGTTTTTTGAGCATTTATATTTTGTTTGAATATGTCAACAACCGAGATTTAATTTTGTTATTTTTGCTGATGAGTAGAAGCCGCTAAATTAAATCCTCACGAACATGAAAAATGTGAAAATAAAACCCAATGAAATTGCTCAAAACATCAAAATAGTGAAATTAAATGCCAGTGAAAATAAATAGTTTTACAGTAGATTGAGGAGTATTTTAAATTTTGTTGCATTTGTGATGTATTCCAACAAAAAACACCATGCAACATAAAAAACAAGAAATGGTCTATTATATATACATAACAAAATTGGTCCTATCAAAATCAAGTACATTTGGTGCAACAATTTAGGTCACCATTATTCAGGAGTAGTATATCACAAGGCAGTATATATACTTTATACAGAGTTACAATTATCACCACCACCGATAGATCCACCCTATTATACCCTTCAATCTATACAAAATACTATATATGCAGTTTTAATATTATCGCCACCATCGCTATAACAGTCACCACAACTGCTAAGATTGAGTCACCACCCCTATTATACCCTTTAATTTATACACCCTTCGAGTCGAGCTATTAAAATTGAGCTTCAGACAAAGGGAGGCACAAGAAGACTATCAGCATAATTTAAAGAAACATAACAACTAATGCAGGAATAATATGTTGTTACCTAGGACAGGAAAATAAAAATGTAAGTAATATTCTATACATAAAGATGCATCAATTGAAAATATACGGCTATAGTGCAATGTTTGATCCAATGCAGATGTTGAAATGAACACAAATCTCACAATGACGTAATTCTACTCATTCTGTATTTCTCTGGAGTTCATCAAATCGTAACACATAAAATAATTTATTGATCCACTGATGAGAAGTTATTTTTAATTAATATCTACCATCCACACGCATCCAATTTACTTTAGAATTCTGGATCAAACACTACTCAGAATTTAGAGCAAAAGTCAAGAACAGCATTAAGATGATATT